ATAATTAAGGTCTCAAAATTAATTAAAAAATGTTGAAAAATATATTTATATTAAGTGGGGGAGGCGAAGAATAAAATCCCGTCCCCATCTGTCAAAAAAAAAGTGATAAAAGAATGGAAATTATATTTTGTTTATTTAAATATAAAAATAAGGGGTTTTTTTTAATGAAAAGAAAAAAGTTTTTTTTTTAGCTACCCGACACGACAGCCCATCCCGCACTTCCTTGTTTAACGCTCTTCCTTTTTTTTAATTGGAAAACATGTTTTTTATTTATTAAAAAGTAAAAGTAAGTTATCTATAATACTTCAAAATAATTTTAAATAAACATTGGGTCTGCTTTTGTGAGTGGAAGCTAAAAATACATTGTTGGGCCGTATATTATTGGGCCGGCCCATTAAATCATTTACTTCACAATCCTTAAACTTATAAATGAAAAATAAAAACTGAATAAAAATTAGTCAAATTATAATTTTAGATTAAATTCACTATAATTTCAGTTAATTAAAAAATTAATCGAGGCCTAATTTTCACATTAAATATTTGTAATTAATTCCTAACATAAAAATATAATAAAATTTAGCTAAAATATTAGTAAATAATTTAAAAATATACGGATTAAATTGAAAATTAGTGTATGAATTTTTTTATTTTTTTATTTTTGTCTCTAATTTAATGGAATTCTTGGTAACCAGACAGCGCGTGAATTGAATATAAAGTTCAAAACGACGTCGCTTCAACGTCGACGCCCACGGCCCACAGAGCCTCTGCCAGCCCAAATTCGCTGGCTGCCCTAAGCGCTAAATCTCAACTCCCCCCACCCACGACAACACAAAGATTCCGCCAGCCTCGCGGCACGTCGTCGTTTTCAACCTATTTTTTAATCTCCAATAATAATATAAATAATAAGTGATAAAATTAGTATTTTAATTATTTTTTTACTACAAATAAATTATTTTTTTACATGTTATTTAATTTTTAATTCAAATAAACTAATAAATAAATTCAATTTCATAATTAATTATTGGTTAATTTTGTAAAACGTCCGTCTCACGTAATTTGAATGACTTACTAAACATTTTTAAAACTTAAATTTAATGAAAAATATATAATTAATTCATAAATTTTTAATTATAGGTCTAATAAATCCACTTAGATATTAAATATTTCAGCTTAAAAATTTTATTAAGTAATTTTAAAAAATACGAAAATAAAAAGAATTTACGTATTTATTAAATTTATTTATTTATTTATTTTCTTCACCACCTTTTTGGCTCGCTCTCGCCACAGACCACAACTCCATCAATCTTCCCTGTTCTGCCTGAAACTTCCCTCCTTAATTCTCTCTGCTTTCTTCCTTCGATTCTTCCGTCGCAGTCTTCGTAGTCGAACTTCTTTCCTACAGACCAATCCAATCTAGTTATCTCCATTTCTTCGCCAACAGGTTTGAGTTCTTAGTTCCCATTTTGGGGATTTCATTGCTTCTTCAAGTTTTCGTTTCAGCTACTGTATATGATTTGTGATTCTTTCGGTTTTGGATTGTGAATTGCTGAATTTTTTACTTTTGGATCAGGTTTGTTCGATAAATTTGAGGCGGAGACGGCTATGGCTCATAAGGTGGACCACGAGTATGACTATCTGTTCAAGATTGTTCTGATCGGGGATTCTGGCGTCGGGAAGTCCAACATTCTTTCTAGATTTACCAGAAATGAGTTCTGCTTGGAGTCCAAATCCACCATTGGTGTTGAGTTCTCGACCAGGACTCTCCAGGTAGAAGCTCAATCGTTTGAACTCTCAGAGATTTTTCCTTTCATTTTGCGCGTTGTTTAGTTATCATTTTTTCAATTTACTGATTGATCGCATGAGTTTCCTTTTGTGCTCGACGAATTTCAAAAATTTAGGTTCGGATGATTTCTAACTTGTAGCTTCCGCCTTGGTTTCTACTTCCAATCGTTGAAGTGCAGTGGATTCATTGTATGTAGGGTTTGAGTAAAGCTTCGAAGTAGCTGTTTTATTGCTTGAGGCTACAAACGTTTAGAATTGAATGAATAGGTGCTGGATTTATGGAAAATAAGTATAGTGTTGCTCATCTAACAAGCAAACCATCTGGATTTTTAGCTGTGTCCATGGAAGACTGTGAAACTATGAAGCCATGTGTGCTCAATTATTCTAAAATATGGTTGTGGGCAGTTGGAGCAGTAGGAAATTGGCAGAATTATTTTGCCCGAATTTATAGTATTCCACTAATTTTGCAAGTGTTCATGCTCTTAAAATTTAGAGTGTTCTCAATAATGGCAAGTATTATTGAAGGATTGTTCTCTTTATTTGATTCAAATGTAGATAAAACCATGAGTTTCTTGTGAAAAGTTGGGTATGCTGTCAACATTGAACATAGCTCAACAATAATTGCTTCTTTCTTTGAAATTGGATGTTCAAATTCTCATACCCCATGTTTATTATACTAAAAGATAGAGAAGTTAGGGTATGCCCATCCTATAATGGCCAAACCAATAGATATTCGCTGAGACATAGCCATTTTTTCTTGTGAAAGGCTATGAGTTAATGGAGCAAAGATTCTGAAATTTTTGAAGGAGCTGGAGGTGGGAAATAGAGGTCTCTGTAATAGCTAAAGTCCACCACGAGTAGATATTGTCCGTTTTGGACTGTTACGTATCGTCGTCAGCCTCACGATTGTAAAATGTATCTACTAGGGAGAGGTTTCCACACCCTTATAAGGAATGCTTCGTTCCCCTTCAACCGATGCGGGATCTCAGTCTCAAACCAAAGCTAAAGTCCACCACTAGTAGATATTGTCCGTTTTGGACCGTTACGTATCGCTGTCAGCCTCACGGTTTTAAAACGTGTCTACTAGGGAGAGGTTTCCACACCCTTGGAATGCTTCGTTCCCCTCCAACCGATGCGGGATCTCAGTCTCAAACCAAAGTTATCCTGTATTCAAGCATTCCGAATCCAGTCCCACCTTTTCTTGTTTGTCCTAGACCCAAAATTCTGTTATAAGAAAGGAAGGCCAATGAGATGGAGGGTTCCCCTCATTGACGATATCACTGAATTGGGCAAATATTATTCAGCCTGATGCATTTTCCATTTCAGAGTTCTATACTCTTAGTAGTTGAAATGTTAGCCATCTGATTTTAGCCAATATTATTGATATACAGGTAGAAGGGAAGACAGTCAAGGCACAGATCTGGGACACAGCAGGTCAGGAGCGATACCGAGCGATTACGAGTGCTTATTATAGGGGAGCCGTTGGTGCTCTCCTAGTCTACGATCTGACAAAGAGACCGACGTTTGAGAATGTACAAAGATGGCTACGGGAGCTGAGAGATCATGCAGACTCCAACATCGTGATTGTGATGATTGGAAACAAATCTGACCTTAGTCATCTTAGATCTGTCTCAGAGGATGATGGGCAGAGCATGGCAGAGAAGGAAGGCCTTTCCTTCATCGAGACATCAGCCTTGGATGCCACTAATATCGACAAGGCATTCCAAACCATCTTGACAGAGATCTACCATATCATCAGCAAAAAGGCATTGGCAGCCAAGGAAGCAGCGGCTGCTAGTGTCGCCCGTCCCAGTCAAGGAACCACCATTGACGTTTCCGATACCACCGGAGACTCGAACAGAAAGAGTTGCTGTTCTTCTTGAGCAGATTCAGAAAGACAGAACTGATAATTCGCATCAAAGGTTTCTCTTACCCCTCTTTGTCATAATTGATCTGTTGTTAGTTATTTTCAACCGTTTCCAAATTTGTTCCTTAATTCCTTTACTAACCCATTCATATAACAATTCCCTTGAGGAATTTGATTTGTATTTGTTCTTCATCTGCAACTCATGTTCAGAAATTCTTACGTTTGTTGGCTTAGCAATTAAACAGATATGAAACAGTTGGGATTACTGAGTTCTATGTGTTTGTGACTGGCTGCCTTATTTTGTACTAAACAGCATTGATATATATATATTTTAAGCAATTTAACAGATATAATCCAAAATTTGTGGAGGAAATAAGTGAAAAACAAAAAGTAAAGTTATAAGTTTTATGAGTAGTTACTACTTATAGCTTAGCAAAGAGTTATATCAGCCGTAAACTATATATATATATATACTATTCTATATTCTCTTATACATACAAATCTTTTAGCTAGGGTTCTTTTGTATTCATCTTTAACTGTGTTGTTGTGCAATCCTAACAATTCTAGGAGATCTGTTTGTATTCATTTAGATCGAGTGTGTGTTGTTGTGCGATTCTAACAATTCCGTCATTTAAATTTTTAAGTCGGTATTTGAACGTTCGATTTGACGAACGTTCCAGGAGATCTGTTTGTATTCATCTTTAACTGTGTTGTTGTGCAATCCTAACAATTCCAGGAGATCTGTTTGTATTCATTTAGATCGAGTGTGTGTTGTTGTGCGATTCTAACAATTCCGTCATTTAAATTTTTAAGTCGGTATTTGAACGTTCGATTTGACGAATAATAAAGTCATTAATTTGAAAAATATTGGATATATTGGTGATTTATTAGTGATTTTCATTGGACACTTATTATGGCTCACATATTTATTAAAACTATAAAAATAAAAATGAGGATATTGTGTTATTATGTAAATTTTTTAACTGAAAAATTAAAGACATCAAACAAAAGACAAATTTATTAAATGCAAATCATTATTAATTAAGTTAAAGAAGTCAATTATCCTTTAATTATTGATCTAAAAGAATAGTAATTAGTAATTAACCGTATTATATTCGAATATATTTTTTATTGGGATCCAAGAAAAACGAGGAAGAAAATGAGAAAAAAAAGAAGATTGTCTGAGCCCGGGTTCGAACCGGGGACCTCTAGTGTGTGAGACTAGCGTGATAACCAACTACACCACCCAGACCTTATTGATGATGGGCCTCCTTTAAGTTTATATAATAAAGACTTTGGAATCACGAGATCGTTTTCTTGTTCATTTCTCGTAATTTGCCATGGACGCTCACCACGCATCTCTAGGTCGACGAACGCTAAGAACTTTTTGCTTGTTCGCATTCTTGCGCACCATAATGCCTTCAGTGTGTTTGTGAAATTCGGCAAAAGAGAGCGGCCGAGAGATTGAGAAAAGCTTCTTCCGGACCAGATCTGGGCGCAGCCTCCAAATCAAATGGTTTGTTATTGTTGATTCGTATGGAATTAATGTTGGGATTATTGGTTGTGGATGTAATTTGGTTTTATTGGAACAGAAACTTCTGGCGTTAGAAAATCAGAGAGCGGAAGTCGATTCTCAGAGGTAGGATCATGTTTTTTTTTTCCCGCCACGCCGAACCTTCCGCTTGCTTGATGTTTAGGAGTTAGAAACTTCTTTTGTATTATTAACTTTCTCGGTCATGTTCTTGTATCTTGAAATTCTGATACTGATTCTTAGACTTCATCTTCAACCGTTTCTTATGTATTTTTACTTAGGCTCTTGTTTTGATAAAATTCATCTATAGTTGGGAAAATGCGGCATGAATGATTAATGGTCAATTGTTGCAATTGCTGTCCGATTTCATACAATAGAGAATTTGTATAATAAACAGGATTCTTCAGAATTTGATATTTCAGTCTGATTTCAACATTACCAAAATGTTTTAGGAGACGAACACTGTACCATGTTTAAAGCTCTCAAAGATGTAGCCATGGAGAAAGATGCAGCAGTTGTTGCCCAAGTATATGCAGTCTAGATAAATTAGTACAGGAGGAACTGTTGCAGCCCAAGCCATTGCTAACAGATATTGCCTTCTTTAGGCTTTCACTTGAGGATCTGTTGCAGTCCAAACCCATCGTTTGGACTTTCCCTTTCGAACTTCCCCTCAAAACACGTCTGCAGGGGAGAGGTTTCCACCTTATAAAGAATGTTTCGTTCCCCTTTTCAACCAATGTATAGGGAATGCTTAGTTCCTTTCTCCAATCGATGTGGAATCTAGGGGGCTTAGTGTCCTCGCTAGCGCACTGCCCGGTCTCTAGCTTTGATACCATTTGTAGCTCAAGCCCATCGCTAACCGATATTATTCTCTTTGGGCTTTTCCTTTCAGGCCTCCCTTCAACATTTTTTAAAACGGTCTATTAGAAACAAGTTTCCCCGCCTTTATAAGGAATTCTTAGTTCCTCTCTCCAATCGAATTGGAATCTCACAAGAACAAAACACGCGAATAGTCTACCGGTGTCATATAGAGATGTGGCAGCTGACACCTAGATGCCTCCATTAACAGCTGAACTTCTCTCCTTCAAGGTTAGTCTCTTGCTTAGGAGGCATTTCTCTGCACATATATGATGAAGTCTCAATGAAGTTGGAAGTCCTTTCAGGATGTTGAATATTTAGCCGTATGTTAGTTTAAGTGATTATTGATTATGTCGAACTTGTTATTTCTTCTATAGGAACTTTCAGCTTTAATCTGTTACCTTGCTTTCTTTCTTCATACTTCTAAGTAATTCATTATACTAATGATTTGATCTTCTTATAATTTTGTTCAAGCGCCAACTTGCAAAAGAACAGAACAGAGCAGAGTCGCTATCAGCAGAAGCATTGGAGCTGTCAACGCAACTCCAGCAGACTACACAGGCATATAACGGGCTTACACGCCTGTAAGATCCTCAATCTCTTTCTCTCGTACCGAGTATGGCTGTAACAGCCCAAACCCACCTCTAGTAGATATTATTCGCTTTAGTTCGTTACGTATCGTCGTCAGCCTCACAGTTTTAAAACTTGTGTGTCACCCTTATAAGGAATGTTCGTTTCCCTCTCCAACCGATGTGGGATCTCGCAATCCACTCCCTTTTGGGGCCTAGCGTCCTCGCTGGCACACCAACTAGTGACTGGCTCTGATACCGTTTGTAACAACCAAGACCCACCGATATTGTCCGCTTTGGCCCGTACGTATCACCGTCAGTCTCATGGTTTTAAAACCCATCTGCTCGAGAGAGGTTTTCACATCTTTATAAGAAATGTTTCGTTACTCTCTCCAACCGACGTGGGATCTCACAACCAAAGTACGTTCATATTCCTTTTCTTTTCTTTTTTTCATTGAATTCAGTAGATCATTCTTTTAATGTTTCACACGGTTCTATTCCAAGGATTTATTGCCTTTAAAACTAATTGAATCTTTAAGATCTATTAAATGAACACTAGATAGATTTGATAGGAGACACAATCAACTTTTTTATTGGATCATGGCTGGATCAAATTATTGTAGATTCAATATTCAATATTACTTTTCTTTTGAAATATGCTTACTAAATTCTCTAAGTTACAAATATGGATCAGAAACTCACCTCTTTTTTCCCTGTTTTTTTTTTTTTCAGCTATAGTGTTACTGTGATGTCCCACATTGGTTGGGGAGGAGAACAAACTACCATTTATAAGGGTGTGGAAATCTTTCTCTAGCAGACACGTTTTAAAGCCTTAAGGGGAAGCCCGAAAGGGAAAGCCCAAAGAAGACAATATCTACTAGCGGTGGATCTGGGCCGTTACAGTTACACTCGTTTCAAGCTCTCAATCATCAAAATATGAGGACAAATCACAAAAGTTATTCTCAGAGCTATTATTGTGTCCCTTAAGCTAGCTGGATTGCACCAATTGGAAAATTTCCCCTACAAACAACTTCAGAGTAAAGAAGGGAAAAGGAAAGGGATGTTTAGATATTTATTGACACTTATTTACAAAGCTTTCTACAGGTTGGATAAAGGAACTCATGAGGAAGACATAAGCAGGGAAGGAAGCTCAACAATGGAGTCCTCAAAGATCTGTTTCTGTATTCCTCGCCATAAGAACAGCCACAAAGTTGATGGAGGATCGGAGAAATCTTCCAAATCAAAGCCTTCTCGCCGCAAATCTGGTGCCAAAGAAGGTAAGCATTCCTCTAGTAGTGATAGTAGTGGAAATGGAAACACAGGTGATGCAAGTGCAGCAGGCAGCGCCGCCGCCGCTGTGGCTGCCATTGCGGTCACGGCGGTGACCATGGATGCCGTTGATGAGGATGATGGTGGCAGCACTCATGTCCATGGCGGTGAGGGAGGTGGCGGAGGCGGTGGAGATTAGGGAATTGGAGCAGGATCGGAGTGTTTATTTATTATTGTTCTCTGTTCTTGGTGATATCCTTCTGCTGGTTCCTTCCTGAGTTTTTATCATTTGTTTGAATTACAGTATATGACCATCTGGGTCTTAGTTGCTTCTGTTATATATACATATACATATACATATATATATATATATAGAAAACTTTGTAACATCTTGAAATTGTGGCTGTTTGTATCTGTCTTCTTCTTATACTCTGTTCTGAACTGTCTATTTAGCTCATTGGTTCATAAGGAACTCAAGTTGTGATTTTTGTTTGTGGATAATAAAAAAATATGTGAGATCTTAAGTTGGTCGAAGAGGTGAATGAAATATTTATTGTAAGGGTGTGGAAACCTCTCTCTCTAATAGACGCGTTTCAAAACTGTAAAGTTAAGGTAGACAATATCTATCTGTAGTGGGCTTGGCTATTACATGAATATATGCTCTTACATGAAATTTAATTCAATTTAAGAGATTTGATTTTAATATCTATGTACGAGAAAAAATGATAAATTGAGATAAGTTGGACAATATCATACTATTCACAATTGATTCTTTATGATCGCAGCCATTTGGAGAAGAGACGTTGACCTGACCACGTTGGTCAGTATTTGGTCTCTGTTCGCCTTTGGGTTTCTCAGATATCCATGACTAGGAATTGGATTCGAGCAGTACACAAATAGTCCCCACATCCTTAAAAAAAAAAAAAAAAAAGAAACCAAACGGAATAAAATTGAAGTGAACGAGAACGAGAGAGAGAAGTTCAAAACTCTAATTTTTTAGTCAATAATAGATATTTAATTGAAAAATTATAAAAAAAATAAATTTCCATTTCTGATGTGAAAAAAAAAATTCATTTATGCATCTCGTTTTATAAATTAAGGTCCTATAATTTAAATCACGCTTTCTCTTTTTACCGTTGATTCAAGAGATTTTTACGGCAGCTTAGGGATGGAAAACCTTCTCCCTTCTGTCTCGGTCTCTTCTCAAATTTCATTTTTCATATGGCTAATTTCTCATTTATTTTTCTGGAAACTAAAGGAGAGATTTTTCGGGGAGAATGCACGGGATCAAATTTTCCTTCTGAATTTTTATTTCTATTTTGTAAGATGGTTATTTTGAATAAACATTTTTTTTATATATAATTTTCACTTTATAATATACTTTTTATTAAAAAAAATGCAAACAAAAATCTAATATAATATTTACAAATAAGATCAAAATTTAACATTAATTTAAATATTTCCATCATATATCATATATGTGTTATATATATATGATAATAATATTTATAATATTTATAAGAAGCCTAATTTACATATGTATATATATACATACATACATATATACATATATATATACATACAATATATATATATATATATATCAATTTCGTTGCCCAAAATGCAGACATGGATCGAGCCAGCCAGACCGTAAAAAAACCGGGAAAATAATGAGGCTCAAGCATATTTCGCCACGTGGATTCGTGCATTATAATCGGATGCAAACCTATTTATATTCCACTCTTTATTCTCCTTTTCTTGTCCGCCTTTCTCCCCTTTCCCTTTCTCTCTTACCCTTCTTTCCCTCTCCTCTCTCTCTCTCTCTATTCCCGTCGCCCCTCTTTATCGCCCCCTCTGCCCTTTTACTTCACACAACTCTACAAATCCTAGAAGCTTATACGGATTGTATGGATCTTCTTCTTCCTTGAGTTTTCTCGAAGACTCGATTCTGGGTTTCGCTAGTGGAGGGAATCGGAGGTAGACAGGGCGAAGCGGATCCGTTATGGCGATTTCGACCAGCTCTATCTACATCAATGTCATTGAAGATGTTGTCAACAAGCTTCGCGACGAGTTCACTGATAATGGTCCTGGAGAGGACGTTCTCAAGGAGCTTCAAGGAGTAATTATTGATCTCCTATCTTGAAAATCTTGTTATTCTTCCTTGCTTGATACTCTTAGCTTCGATAGTGAATGAATGTTTGGTTTCTATTTCAATCTATTTGAAGGAATCGATTGAATTTTTTCGGTGATTTCTTTCTGAGTTTGATCCATTTCATTCTAGGGTTTTGAGGTTTTGAAGTTGATTTAAGCTGTGGTTAGGCTGATTGTTTTCTTTGTTGGAACTTTTTAGATGTGGGAGGCGAAAATGATGCAAGCGGGTGCAGTGAACGGTCCCATAGAGAGGTCTGCACCGTCGAAGCCCACACCCGGTGGTCCAATAACTCCGGTTCACGATCTCAATGTTCCGTATGAGGGAACTGAAGAGTACGAAACTCCTACAGCTGATTTACTCTTCCCGCCGGTGAGTACTTCTCTTATCCTCTCTATTAAATGATTTCCGAAGTTCATAATTAATAATCGAAGCGATTTTGGTAATTGTAGACGCCACTACAAACTCCAATTCAAACCCCTTTACCGGGAACTGCTGACAACGCGATGTATAATGTTCCTACTGGACCCAGCGACCACTCTGCATCTGGTACTGATGCTTCTCCAGCTGTTACCACTCCTGGAGGTAGCGCTAGTAATGTCGATGTCCGATCTGGAAGGCCAACCCAATTTATGGTAATTACTGCTTGATTTTGATGCTACAATTAATCCTTACACTTTCTCATTCCCTGCAGTTTACCCACT